TGATTTATGTATGTGTTGTGATTATGGGAGGGCTCCAGTTTCTCGCTTTGTTGCCAGTTTCCAAGACATTAAGCATGTAGAATGTGACTACACCTCACCTGGGTCACCAGGGCAGCAAACCTTCAACTTTGACCCTTAGTAGTGTCAAAGGTCAGCTAAAAGATGGAAAATATTAGTTAATAGTTGAGTATTCATACACAACTATGATGGCTACATGCAGATAAATCTGCTCTGTGGAAAAGAAGTTTTGTTTTTGCTCTTCAAGTGTGTACTGATGTTAAAATTCTCAGAGCATTTCTATGACCATCGTGCAAGCAATATATGTAGTGAAGTGTAACTAATACATTCAGATTCAGATACATAATGTAGCTTGATATGGCAGATTAGTCCTGCTAGTTTTTGGTCACCATGATACATCATCCCTGGCCCTGGGATGTATGGAAATTATCTCTGGTATCCCAGACTGCATTAATACCATTGACATGCAAGACAGCACTGTTTAGAAAAATGACAGGCTTCTTGAACGACCATCTTACACAAAAATACAGCATTCATAATACAGTTTCAAGAAATAACATCAACATGTCTCAAACATTTTGCCAATTTTTTTCAGTATAATATTGCACATCCCAAAAACCACCAATCAAATTATTTCTATAATTCTTCAATAGTTTCCTTTTTGTTGTGTTCTTGGCAAGTTTCAAGGTCAAGTCTATACGAATGTGTATGATAGTACAAATCTGTTTGGCTGTTGACATTGGCAGATGAAGGCATTATTTTGGGATGGTGTAATGTGTAAGTGTAAACCATCACTGTAGAATTTTATGATTATTGTATTCTCTTTCATGTTAGAATATCATTACATGTGCCTGTCATGTTAGCTGTTTTAGCTTATCACAAAATCAGCTGTAAAAGATTGAAACATTATTGATTGAGATAAAAGCTAGGCCCAGATGTGTTCAAGGCTACCATGCTATGTTATTATGAACCAGGGTAGATGAATGTTTGTTTTGTCATTTTCTGTGTGCCTGCTAAGTGACACTTTAGCGCAGAAATCCACTTAGCATCGCTCAGCGAGGGAAACTGTTTTCAGACGTGATGCAGCCTTTTCCTGTTGTCTCGTCCGTTTTCCTAACCTCTGAGATCATCTGCTATATATGGCCTGACCCTAGTCCTTGGTGACAGCATTGCCAGCCATGGTGCGTTCTGTCAGCGATTACAAAGTATTCTGACAATGTTGGGGATGGAAACTGTCATACATGTGTTTGGGTGCATGGCAAAGCCTCAGTGAAGGAGGGGTTACATGTCATTAGCAAGCAATGACTTGTTGTCTGTACACAGAAATGTGTGAGAATCTGTCAGCCATGTCTGTGAAGACTCTATCAAAAAACAAGTTGCCTTTGTAAAGTTGCTGTCAGCTTAATGCATGTGTGTATGTCAGCAATGGACATTTTCAATACATTAGAATCTACAGTTTCTCAAGGAGGTTGACAAAAATATGACTTGTGCAGTGCCAGGCAGTCAGATCCTTGTTGTTGTCTTGTTGTTTTCATTTTGAGCCCAGAAAACAGTCATCATTGTCAAAGTCACAACTGGGGAGTGGGAGGTTTAATCATTGGATGTCAGTGATGGAGCCATGTTAGTTTGGCACCGTCCCCAGACAAGATTACCCAGTATAGATGTATGTAACTGATTGTTAACAGGCCAGGATTCCATGTCTGCAAAGTGAAATACGTCAGAATAACGTTGCATTGTAACACTTCATTTCCATTGGTCTGTAATTTTACCTTAATGAAGACAAAAACTTTGTGCATGTAAGAAACTGCTTGACTGACATGTATATAGTCACTAGTGCCACACGTATGCTTTAAGGTATTCATGTGTCATTGCCAATCATAAATTGTTTTGAAAACATGTCTATATTTGTTCAAGGTGATGATGTTATGAATTCGGAAAGCCTTTTGCTCAGAAGTTAATTTGTGTCAGAATTTAGCACCTTTGACTTTGGGGATATTCAGCATTTGCTCTTTTCCCTTTACATGTAGATCCCTCATATTGATGATAATTATCATTTATCTTGAAGTCATGGTCTTAAATGTAGCGATATCTGCTGCATATAGTCTATAAGATGGCTTGAATGGCATTAATCTTGTATGGTATGTTACAGTCCAGACATGCACCCCACATATTCCTTGCATTATACATGACAATGTGATACAAAGGTAAAATTCCGGAAAAGTCTTAAATCAGAAGAGAATGTAATCATATTTTAGGGGAACATCTGTCATGCAGCCATCCAATGATCGATAAGCAACTCACCAACTTTTTCACTTTTCCTCCTTCACCCAATAAATAATACATAATCTTCCCTAGAATGTTTGGCTTGCATTTTTAAAGTCAAGAATATCTCAGATACAATATAGTTGTTTGATTCAAGCTATTTTATGAGCTTTTATTTTATTTATGTATTGTGTTATGATTATGGGAGGGCTCCAGTTTCTCACTTTGTTGACAGTTTCCAAGACATTAAGCATGTAGAATGTGACAACACCTCACCTGGGTCACCAGGGCAGCAAACCTTCAACTTTGACCCTTAGTAGTGTCAAAGGCAGCTGACAGATAGAAAATATTAGTTGAGTGACCATAGACAACTATGCAACTATGATCTACATGACTGTATATAAATCTGCTCTGTGGAAAAGAAGTTTTGTTTTTGCTCTTCAAGTGTGTACTAATGTTAAAATTCTCAGATCATTTCTATGACTATCGTGCAAGCAATATATGTAGTGAAGTGTAACTAATACATTCAGATTCAGATACACATGTACATGTAGCTTGATATGGCAGATTAGTCCTGCTAGTTTTTGGTCACCATGATACATCATCCCTGGCCCTGGGATGTATGGAAATTATCTCTGGTATCCCAGACTGTAATTAATACCATTTACACACAAGAGTCATTTAGGGGACATCCTAGATGTCATGTACATGTGTGTATTATAATGTTACACAAGGAGATCGACACAGCACTGCCTAGAAAAAATGACAGGCTTCTTGAACGACCATCTTACAGCATTCATACATTTGTAATACTGCTTCAAGAAATAACATCGACATGTCTCAAACATTTTGCCAATTTTTTTTTCAGTATATGCACATCCCACCCACCATGTTTAGATTTTATCCTCTTGAATTTTCTTTGTTGTTAATGCAGACCACTGAGGCACAATTTTGTACATGTAGGTTTATTGCAAGAAAATTTAATATAAAATGTAGTGTGACCTTTCCATGTCCTTTATGCCTGTGTACTCTGTCATGAGTTGATTGATCATCATAATCCTTTACAAGTGTTCAGCAAAAGCTAATCAACAACATGTGGAAAGCCTTTTCAGACATAAATGGCTCTACTCCATGCTGTTATGAATTTAGATGCTGGTAGTTTTCAGGCTCTAGTTTTTGCTGTCATGTATGATTTTTTAAAACCAACTTTCCCCATTTGATATTTTTGTAAAACTAGTAGTAGGAATGTTGCAGAGTTGTGGGATTCTCAAAATTTGAAGAAAGTTGAATATACATGTACGAATGCACACATGTGTTACTGAGAAATGTGTAAACTGAAGTAACTCATGCCCCAGGCAGTAGAACCAGATGTACCAATATGGGTGCTTTGTCAGACATGTTAATTATACCACCATTTTGGCTGCCTTTGTTGCCCAAAGCATGGCAATTATTGTCACCAAGTACCAATCAAATAAAGGGAATCCGATCATAACTGAAATTTGTACTAAAGGTTAATGTATAGAATTATGAATAGTAACAAAGTTACAAACTTTAAGACTTAATATTTGGCTATTCAATGGTTATTTTGTGGTAAAGAAGTTTGTATTGATTTCTAAAAATATCATAAACATTTCAAATGTACATGTATGTCTTCTTCAGTTGCAAACCTACATGTAAAACATTGCATCTGAATTCCATTTATCATATTGTAGAGTAATAGTGAGGAATCTGAGGATACTAGTGATAAGTCATTATCTTCATAATCATATTTAGATATTTTACAGTAACTGTAACAGTAGATCATTCGTGGCAAATGTTGGTGTCTAAAATTTCCTTGCTTGGAGGAGTCCTATAAATTTAGTTAACCAGGGCAGAAATGTGGTAGGCCGGGGCAGCACCTGTTAGGCTTGCTGTAACTGTCACAGTTGCAAGTTACATCATAGTATGGGAACAGTCTGTGTCTTCAAACTGACAGTTGTAGCTGAGGGCACAACCTGGAGCCAATTCCTGTATGATAGATGGATGAAAGGAAGCTTGCTACTTCAGCTGCCATTTAGGGGTGAGCCATTTGACCTCTTGGGCCTGGCTGACGCAAATGGTAGAAGGAAGGCTGCTGGTTCAGCTGACATATGCTGTTTGTCGCAGAGCAGTTTGTAGAGCTTCTGATCAGGAAAAAAGTTTTATCAGTTAATGATTAAAAAGAGCATTATACATATATGTAGAACGAAGCCAGGCCGAAAGAAAGAGAGAGAGAGAGAAGATGCTTACGTCTGTACATCAAGACCCCTCCTCTCTTTCTGTTAGGTGCCCTTCTTCACACTCAGTCTGATGATTTATTCCAGTCCTCTGTCTACATATGCCATGGCAATCCTAAGGGTTTAGCCACTCAGGAGGGGGTGAACCACTTGCCCTGTGTGTTTCCTGTCTGATATGACATTGTTTGACAGAAAACAGGTGTTATCTTGCTGCTAACAAGGAAGTGCTGGAGAAGGATCAAGTTTTGAAGTCAGACTTGGTTCTTCTGTCTGGCATTTGACACTGCCCTTACTCAGATTAGGCTTGTTCGTTTAGGATCCACATCATCATGAGATGCAGACTATCAATACAATACAATACTGTTATTGCTAATTACTGATAACATATTCACGTAGATGATATAAAATAAAACATGACAATAGCTCAGAGATTGATACAGACTGTATCTTGACCTCCATATCCAGGCAAGAAGAGAAGCCCTAGCAGAGCATAAGCCTCACATCGACAAGCTGAACAAGACTGGTCCACTGCTGGCCGAGCTGAGCCCTGGGGAGGGTGCCGAGGCTGTCAATGTCAAACTCCGCAGCGACAGTGAGCGGTACGCTGCTGTCAAGGAGGCCGTACAGCGGAGGAGCATCTGGCTGGACGATGCGCTGTCTCAGGCGACACAGGTAAGACTTTGTGTGTAAGTTTGGTGTAGAATGTTGTGAGGACAAAGTTGTGTCACATTTATCTGTTGAGACTGTTACACACTGGTACATGTAGCATCCAAATACTGCAACCATATGCAGCTCAGAGGAGAGGTTGACAATCATGGAAATTTTGATTCAGAAATGAAAGTCCAGCAGTTTAAAAGATCTTGAAAACTAAAAAAATAGGTCTGGAATTTGATTTCACCTAATGGCATGTTATGATATGCTTCTACACACATCCAAATTCTTTTTGTGTTTGACCTGTTACTTAAGATAAATGCTCTATATTGCCATGTATAGGGATCAGTTTTGAAGACAGTCAACATTTAATTTGCGAGAGATTTAAGCTTAATATGTATCCTACCAGTGTACTAGCCCCCTGATGTAGTGATTGCACTGCTGTGTGGCCCAGGGATATTGAAAACAGAGAAGGGCGCCACCCTATGCGTCATTTGATGCAGGAAGGCTCTTTTTCTTAAATCTTCAGATGACTTTGACCTTCGCTCTTTTGCATCTGCGTGAGGTTATTATATTAAGAAGTTTTGGGGGGGTCTACTGATACATGTATGCTGTCAATGCAGAATTGCCTACTCAAAGCTTTTTGCAATCTGTTTGTAGAAAAAAAATCAATGGAAATTTGATATATCCAAAATAATAAGATTCCCTGCTGTCCCTGGGCGGATAAGCCAGGTACATTTCCGGGAGTTTCTCTGGACTAAGGGCCGCCCACTGTGGGTTTTTCCTCCTGCCAAAATGATGTTTGTAATTAGCAGAAATGTTAGAAGGGACCTGGTGGTCTTTACCTCTCATGTAAGTGTCCTTTGACTTATAACATTCATTTCTTTGGTCAGAAATGTTGTATTTGTCATTAGGGCATATTAGAGCCCATTGTAGGCTGTTAGGGGGGTTGTCAATACTGCTCTAAATGACGTTATGTCTCCGAAATCTCATCACTACAATGTCTGAATGGCTGATCAACGTCCTTTATGAAGACTGTTACATGTACAGAATTTGTTTTCAGTCCAATGCTGCTCTGTGTTCTGAAAAGGTCCTGCCCAATGCATTTCCCTTGAGACCAATTAACTATGGCTTGTGTACCTGGCATGGTAAATCACTATAGGGCACACTGTAACATTCAGCCATCTTTGGATGGTCCCTAACCTTATCTGTGAAATCAGACAGGAAAGGACATTCCAGAATCTAAATATTTCTTAGTAGGGGAAGGAAGGGGAAATGCAACACTAGTTTTGCCTTCAATCAATTTGTGACACACATATACTATACATGTATGTTTGTCTCGTCTCTGTGTCTTTTGTATAATTTTTCTGTACATTATTGTATGTCTATTGTGTATTGGTGGTCTGCATCTCTTTGGAGCTCAAAACTAAGTTCATTTTCATGCATATGAGCATTTTAGAAGCAAAAAAGAGGCAAAATATGTTACCTTTTATACCTCCTGATAAGGATAAATGGGGGAAAAGAATTAGTTTGGAGCTCCTCTTTGATTGTGTTTTATGTCTGACTAATCTTCCGTGTCTCTCCTGTCCTGTCTCTTCTTGCTGTCTCTACACTAACAGACCAGAAAGGTAGACTGTAGTCTTTGATGTATAATTCCAACATCACCATGACTGTCATGTCTCCAGCACCGAGTGTTTACACCTCACAATCTGTGTGTCATATCTGTGTGTACAATGTACATGTACTATGCATAATTGTGAATAACCTCTTCCTTCCAACATATCTACACGTCATATTTGATGAATGAATACTGCAGACCTTTTACCAGATACTAGATTGTTCCAACTTATTTTAGATGCAGCCTACATCCATTTTGTACCATTTTAGATAAAGCTGAACAAAGTGTAGATAACAGAAAATAGCTCTTGAGTTGCTAGTACACAAGAACCCCCACCCCAGATTCAATCAACCAGATGACATTTTTCTTTGGAGCACTTACAGGTACCCCACCCATTCAGACTCACCCACTTCTGTGCACGACATCTAGGTTGTCCTCTTACTAACCCCTGCCCCCCTCCCACGATACAGTTCCATGAGAAGATGGATCACACCCTGGAAAAGCTGGAGAAGGTTGCAGACAAGCTGCGTATGCCGACCCCGATCTCTGCGGAGACTGACAAGATCAAGGAACAAATCTCCGAGAACGAGGTAAGTCCAGGCTGGGGATGCTAGTAAAGGATATTCATTTAGCAGTGAAATTTTCAGTTAATAATGGCCGACAAGCATTGTTCGGGTTGGGGTGGAAAATAGTGGACCAGGACCATAAAAATTCTTCAATTTTTTTGTCATTTCTCTGGAACAAAACTCCAGAAAGTGTTTCACTTGTAATTCTGCATTTCTTAAGGTTTAGTACCTTAGATAGTCTGTGTTTGATTTAACACCATTACTACAAATTAAAGATGAAAAACTGAAGCATAAAAAACATTGAATATGACAGTCCTGACTACCATGGTTATGTTTGTGTTACCTTACTCAGGCCCTACGCAGTGAGCTGGAAAAGCACCTGCCGGCGATCGAGACCCTGCGGGGCAAGGGTGATGATCTCATCAGCAAATCAGCTGGAGTGGACAAAGATCCGTCTGCTAAAGGTACAAACTTGTATTCTCATCTGTCAAGACAAGGCAATGTATGCTGAAACTGTTGTTAGCATGAATAGCACTCTCCTAGTTTGTTTGCACAACTTCAGCGTCATTGACTACAACAATGACACTGAAGTTCCATTAACACAAATTGCTGTGAAAACAGTTTTTTGTCACAATAGACTGTGATTCCTAATAAGTTTCCTTCTTTGTGTGTTCACAGCCATCCAGGACAAACTGGACCAGATGAACTTCCTCTGGGAAGACATCGTGTCACGTTCCGAGGAACGCGACCAGGCCATGCTGGAGACACACGACACTGCTGAAAGGTATGTGAAGTGGTCTGATCCCAATACAGTTAATGATCCTCTCTGAAATAAGTGTTACAGTTGTTAACAGTGATACATGTAGCCATGATCTACTTACAAAATGCAGTTCAATCACCAGATCAATATTTCAAGTTAAATCATATCATAAATCTATGTAACTTCTTGTGCGCAGGTTCTGGGAGGAGCTCGGGAATGTGCTGAACGTCTTGAAGGAGACACAAGACTCCATCAAGGAGCTGGAAGAACCTGCCATCCAGCCTGACATTGTCAGGGAGCAGCAAGAAGTCCTACAGGTGGGAATACAGTATATCATGCAATTATCCTATTGTGTGAAAAAAGTAACTTATTATTATAATTACCACAATTAATAATCTCTAAAAGAATTGTCAAGTTTATATTCTTTTTTTCAACGTGAAGGGTAAATATGGGGAAGGGGGCACAGGAAATGGAAGAAAGTGTATGTATTGAGTATTATCAAACCATTTTCTTTCTTTTTCGTAGGCTATCAAAGAAGAGATGGAGAGCACCCAGGACGATATTGAGACGGTGCGTCAGCTGGGGGAGGACCTGACCTCCCTGTGTGGTGTGCCTGACAAGCCCGTGGTCACCAAGAACGTGGAAGACCTCAATGCCACCTGGGATACCCTCAATGCATCATGGGAAGAGAGGGAAGAGGTACTGGAGGAGGCCATGCGGGTCGCCCTACAGTACCAGGATGCATTGCAGGTGTGTGGTTGTCATCATTTTTAGTGGCTAAAATCAGAGATGATCATTGTCCCCATCTGACAAGACAGTGTATTATACTATTCTTTGGGGCAAACTTAGGTTTTTCTTTAAATGTCTGTGGTTATATTTTCTCTCAGGCACTCCTAGTGTGGCTGGGGACGGCAGAAGCCAGGCTAGCCACATTCCCCCCCATAGGTGCAGACCCATCCACCATCAAGAAGCAGATTGACAACCTCAAGGTAGGAACTCCAATCTTTTTTCAAAGTTGAAACGCCAATCTGTTGAAAACTTTGGGTAGAGATTCAAGATGTTTTTGTGAGTCATATAAAAATTTTAACTCATGAAGTGATGTTGAAGTCAGGACATTTTTCACTTCAATATATCCTGACTGATTGAGCATTGATTATTTGTGAGGTTCTGAACACTTCTAGGAAATCTGTATTTTAATGAGATTAAACTGTACAAAGTCTATAATTTACCAACTGTTCATTCCCCAGGAATTCAAGACAGAAGTTGACCCCCGCCAGGTGGCCGTAGAGGCCATGAACAACCAGGGTGAACAGCTGATGAAGAAAGTCTCGTCTGACGAGGCACGTCTGAGCATCCAGGAGCCGCTTCACGACATGAACAAGCGCTGGGAGGGTCTGCAGAGGAGCATTGTGGACAGACAGGTGAGCTGACGTCAGGGTTGGGACTGGGTCTCTACTGTCATGAGCCCTAAAGTATATGTAAACCAAACTGCTCGCATTTGGAACTGTTAGTTGCTACTTCTGTTAACTCTGACACCAGGAAAGAGATTTCTGCCCATTAAAAAGTTACATGTAGAAAGTACTTTGTACATGTTCTGACATGTACATGTCTACTAGGTTGTAAATTTTTTTAAGCCAGCAATATTGAAATCATTCAGTTTTGATGAAAATTGCAGGTTTATGTTGAAATGTATGCTAATGCTACAATTGGATGTGGTCCACAGCACAAGCTGGAGGCTGCATTGCTAAAGATGGGACAGTTCACAGCTGCTATTGACGAGTTGCTCACATGGCTGAAGCACACGGAGGCCTCACTGGATGAGGAAAAAGCTGTGGCAGGGGACACCAAACTCATTGAAATTGAACTGGCTAAACACAAGGTAAGAGTAGTGTACTTTTCGTATTTTTAATGTTCAGTCTTTAGATTTATGAAAGCAATCTTATTTCAGGTTTTTTTGTTTATCCAAGCGACATGTAAGTCATCAAAGTAACTGATGATTGTCTTTTAACAGGTCCTGCAGAATGATATCCTGGCCCATCAGTCGAGTGTGGACTCAGTTCACCAGGCTGGAAAAAGGATCATCCAGGCAGAGAACAAGGCGGAGGCCAAGGCCATCCAAGACAAGCTGGCAGCCCTCGACAAAAGATGGAGCGACGTCTTACAGAAGGCTGCCGACAAGCAGAGTAACCTGGAGGCCCTCCTGAATGAGGTGGGCACGCTGACAGGGAAATGGAATTATGTGCACAAGTTTATGCTGACTTCTTGGACATACATGTACATGTAGATAGGTATTACTGTATCTCAGTGGGAGCAGAAAGTGGATGTACATTCTGTAACTGTTCAAACTCTACATGGCTATGTACATTGTGTGGCTGTTACATGCCTCCCCTGATGTGCATGACAAATGTTTTCAGGATGCCAGTTTATAAAAGTAAGGAGTAAATTTGCTTGAAATGAAGATGACATGTTGGATTTCTGATTTATTGTTGGTTAAGTAAAGTAATAGCATTGTTTGGGATGAGATAGATAGTTGAGGCATGAAAAGCTGTTTTAATGTTTGTTATTTTTATTCAACAGTCCCAAGGTTTCCATGTTGTTCTGGAAGATCTGCTAAACTGGGTAGGAGAAACAGAGACTAAGCTCAACACCACCAAACCCACAGGTGGTCTGCCTGAGACAGCAAAGGAACAAGTGGACAGGCACATGGTAAGATACATGTAGTGTATATTGTGGCTTACTACTTTTTTTCTAAGTAGCTAAAGTTTTGGGATTCTTTTGGTTTGAACAGACAATCTACAGTGTAATTGATTCCCACAAAATTTGCACCTGTATATGGTATGGTAACTTGAAAGTGAGTAAGAAAGAGATGTCACAGTTGTCAACTACGATATCAACTCAGCTAGATTATTGTGATTCCTTGTAAGAACTTGATCCTGACCAGTCCACCATTCTGTCCACAGGAGCTTCAGCAGCAGATTGATGACAAGACCGAGGAAATCGACGCAGCGCTGTTCGAGGGTCAGGAGCTCATCGCCAAGTGCGACAAAACCACGGCCAGTAACGTGGAACACAGCCTGAACAAGCTCGCAACACAGTGGGAGGGGCTCCTGGCCCACGCTGCCGAGAGGAAGGTCAGAAAAACTGCACAAACATTGAGTTTTGGAATCATCTACATGTAGTACCTTCTTTGTACCTGTTGAATTGTATGAATAACCATGCCATTCTTATGTTCAATAAATTGAGTTTTAGAATCCTCTACATGTGTACATGTAGTTAGAAATATTAGATTCTGAATTTGTATCTTCTCCGTTCCACTCCTTTTGATTTGTGGAAATGACCATGCCATTCTTATGTCCACTACAGTCCAAACTTGAAGATGCCCTGAAACAAGCACAGGACTTCCACGACTCCCTCCAGAGCTTCATCTCTTGGCTGACCAATGCCGAGAAGATCCTGAACAACCTGAAACCTGCAAGCATGGTGATGGAAACCCTGTCACAGCAGATCGATGAACATAAGGTGGGATGGAAACTACTGTACAATCATAAATAATTGTGTACAACTGACTTACATTACATGTAGGTAGTGTATACACATATCAACCTAAAAGTTTTTTAATAGCACTTCAGAATCTTTACTTGATTTGGATGTCACATTTTACAATAGTCAGGCAAGCAACAATGGCACCATTTTGTTAATTTATTATGTCTCCCACCAGGAGTTTGAGAAGAACATTGCCGACCATCGTGAAACCATGCTCCAGCTGGACAAGATGGGCACGCACCTGAAGTACTTCAGCCAGAAACAGGACGTCATCCTGATCAAGAACCTGCTGATCAGTGTGCAGGGGCGCTGGGAGCGCATCCTGTCCCGCTACGGAGAGAGGAGCAGGCACCTGGAGGACGCACTCAAGAGGGCCAGACAGGTATCTCTACTTCCTCCAAGATCTACATGTACTTGTCTTCTCTTTGTAGGAAACATTTATCTACCACACTGATGTTAAAGCATTTGTGTATACTACATGTAAGGATGTGTGTCTGCTTTTCATGCTTTTTTTTTCCTGTATTTGACACACAGATATTTGTATATCGACACTCAGCTGGTTTTGAAAGAATGTACAAAATTAATGTATATCAGAAAAAGGCTGACAGAAAACCTTTAAAACTGGAGCAAAAAGAAATACATGTATGCCTTAAAAGCTTGTATAACAAATCTAAGAAGATAATGTCAAAGATTCTCTTTGGGATTATCAAACAGTTTTTCTGACTGTTCTCTCCTCTGACCTCTCGACCCAGCCTGATCCATCGATTTTGATGCTCGGTTGTGTATATATATGTTACTTTTGTTATTTTGTTTACTGTTGTTGGTGTTTATGTCTATCTGTACAGGGCACGCCTGTAAAGCAGTATATTGTACTGAGTGCGTCTACCCTGTATAAAGAAGACAGAAATAAATAAATAAATAAATAATGTACATTGTTCCTGCCCTCTTCCCTCCCCCAGTTCAATGACTCGTGGAAGAAGCTCATGGATTGGCTGGATGAGGCTGAGAACCACCTGGATTCTGAGGCACCCATCGGTAACGACCCTGACAAGATCAAAGCACAGCTGCTTAAGTTCAAGGTAACATAATAGTTTTTTCTTTCATATTCTGTGTTCTGTCCAAAATTATGACTTTTAAAGAGTGAGAAGGTTGTTGACAAACATGACAACAAGAACTGTTAAAAAATGTTGATGAATTTGAGCAAAAAGTTATTTTGCTTCTCAAAGTCATGAGAGGTAGTACCCCTACAGTATCTTTGTCTAACTTGAACCCCTCATATACAGACAAATGTCTATCAAAATTCTGATACTTATCCCAAATGTTGGTGGGAAAAAGTGGTGTTTTGCCATCAGAAACTGAAATTGACCACCTGTACTTGCAGGAGTTCCAGCGCGCCCTCGCTGCCAAACAGCCGCTGTACGACTCCACCATGAAGACAGGCCGCTCCCTGAAGGACAAGGGCACGCCACAGGACGGACAGAAACTGGACGAGAAGCTGACTGAGCTCCGAGACAAGTGGGACCTCATATGTGCAAAGTCTGTTGACAGGTGAGAAGATACTGAGATGTTACATGCAAACTACACATGAATTGAAGAAAGCATTCTATTGTTAATCAACAGTAACTCACAATAAAAAGGATTCAGTAAAGAGTCAGAAAAACAGCATTGTTGGGATACATGTCTTTGCCTTTTTTCCTGTATGGGAGGGAGATGTGGTTACCTTGAACTATAACTGAATCTGTTCTCCCCAGACAACACACCCTTGAAGAGGCCCTGCTGTTCTCGGGACAGTTTGCTGATGCCCTACAGGCCCTTCTGGACTGGCTGTACAAGACAGAACCTAACCTGGCAGAGGACCTGCCTGTCCATGGTGACATCGACACAGTACTCACACTCATCGGAAACCACAAGGTACTGTTTTTGTGGCATCTACCCAAGGGACCTTAAGTCTGTATACTAAAAGTTTTAATGTCAGAGAAAGGGAAACATTGATTTCTCACTACCAGTACTTTCATTTCAAATCTACTCTTTCTGATACATGTATGTCGTAGGGCCTTGATATCCAAAGATGCTCCAAAAAGTCTGGAATGTAAACTGTTTTTTAGATTAACAAAAAATTGATGTTATTTGCAGGTGTTCCAACGTGAGCTAGCCAGCCGGACCAGCAGTGTACAGACAGTGAGGAAACAGGCCCGGGAGATCCTGAACAGCTCCAATGAGGACACCAGTGAGCTGCGCAGACAACTGGAGGACCTGAACACTAAATGGGAGAACGCCTCCCGTCTCAGCGTGGTCAAACAACAGAGGCTAGACCAGGCTATGAAACAGGTTTGTACTGTTAACATTGGTGTCTTCATCTTCTTTCACCATCACATACATGTACATGTATGCTTAAAGGTATGATACATGCCTTTACAAAATGTATGCTGACACATCACCAATAGATGGTTTTCCTGCATACAGTTTTGTTTTATTATTTGAGCACAAGCAAATATGGGAAATCAGAATATTTGTCTCATTTCCCAGCATTTGCAGATTAAAGTACCAAGAAACTTAACTAACAACTAAGAGTAATGATTGTATGATGGCTGTGTTTTGTAGGCTGAAGAGTTCCACACGGCTGTCCACTGTCTGCTGGAGTGGCTGGCGGAGGCTGAACACGTGCTCCGCTTCCAGTCACAGATTCCCGTGGACGATGAAGACATGCTCATGGAGAGTCTCTCCCAACAGGAGGTTAGTGTTCTGTTTTTGATATGGTAATTGCATGCTAAGTCTAAACATGATGTCTAAACATGAGGGGCACATTTACTGTAATATCGTAAATACATAGGGAATGCGTTGGCATGGGGGCCTTTTCAGAAGGTATTCTTCTTGAGGTCTTCAGTAGATACATATAATATAAATATTATGTTTTCTTAAAAAAGAAAACAATTATATGGTTTCTGCCCCTGCAGAAGTTTGAGAAGGAGATGGCAGACCAGCAGAGGAAGCTGCAGGAGGCCATGGACATGGGAGAGGCCATCCTGAAGATCTGTCACCCCGACGCCATCACAACCGTCAAACACTGGCTCACCATCATCATGGCCAGATGGGAGGAGGTCAGCATGCATGCATGTGTTATGTATTCATACATGTGTTAAAATGAAAAAGATGGTTATTGCCATCTAACAATGGCTTTCAATCATCATGGCCAGATCGGGGAAGGTCATTATTATACATGTACAGAGTGTACTACTAGACAGCATCTACACAACATACTCTACAGACATGCTAGTCATCAATGAAAATGTGCATTGCTTTCCAACAATCATCATTGTGACAGTACCTGCAGCTCAGGTAAAACAGATGTTTTAACACGTCTAGACTTCAATGGGCAGCTCCCAACTTACACCATTTACATGTATTGTCGTATGATGTTCACTAGGAACTGTATCCCAGAAAAACTGTTATTGTTGGATTTTCATGTCCATTGTTTTTTCTACACCCACCAGGTGACTTCCTGGGCATCTCAGCACCGTGCCCGACTGGAAGACGCCCTCAAGGTTCTGAAGGCCAACGAGGAGCTTCTAGATCGTCTGACGGCATGGGTGGAGGGGGCAGAACACACCCTGCAGACACTGGACGAGGAACCTCTCCCTGACAACATGGAGGATGTACAGAAACTCATGGAGGAACATCAGGTGGGAAGGGGCTGAGGAATTATCTCCATGGAAGGCCTCTACACATGAAAGATATCATCAATCCTATTGCATACAGCTAAGCTCATTTTCAGTGAGTTTCAGAAATCTTACCTTATCTGTTTTCCATGTTTGAAGTTGATTAATTACTACGATGCTGTTTCATTGCGCAGATGTTCCAAAACGAGATGTCCACCAAGCAGCCAGAGTATGACCGCATCACCAAGGGTCACAAGCGCCGGATCTCCACTGTTGACCACTCTCCGGCCGGGTTCCTGGACCGGGACGGCAGGCCTCCCTCCAGGAGGGGAGGTGAGTACTGACCACCCCTGTGTGTGAATGGCATCAACCAAATTTTTCTTCAAGAGTGTCTAGTAGTGGGCCAGTCCACCTGTTAACAGTTCCATCTACACTATTACATGTACTATAATCTTCCAATTAATGTAGGACTGTCATCAAGATTATATGGGGATTAATTTGAACTGTGCAATTGGAAAGGCTTAGAAAATTCCATGCTGGCACCAGAAACATCAAGAATGACAATGAGTTGGTGGTGCTATGTACATGTAACGTTACATGTATGCCATGAATCTAAAATTTGTTTGGTCATGTTTTGCAGGAAGAGGCCGAGGTAGTAAAACTACCAGTCCTGCGCCGGAACCTAACCGTAACCCGAGGATCGCCCACCTGCAGGGCAAGTGGCAGCAGGTGTGGCTGATGGCGCTGGACAGACAGCGGAAGCTGCAGGACGCCTACGACAGACTTGCAGAGGTACAGGAACCGTCTGTCATGTGTCGTCCCTTTCTCTTGGTGCAAATGTTGACTGTGAATGAGTACACTTTTCAACTTTTGTCTTTCTAGTGTGTATACAGTAGTAAACTATTGATTTTGCATTTGTAAGGGTTGAACCAGTTAAGATTTGTAGTGCTTCAAGGAAATGATGGTGGGAAAGATAGTAATGACTAGTTTTGCACCAAAACATATTCCATCTCTTGTTTCGTAATGATCATAGATAACTACTGTGATTTTTATCTGTGGAGTGAAAACCACAAGTATGTAACTTTGTGGAACAAAATGAAGCATAGTCTGTTTCACAACTCTAGGAACAACCTACATTTAGAGATTTCACAATCTGAGATGTATGTGGTTTCTGAGCTTGAGATTTATTGAACAAAAGCGTCACACAATCTACAAAGTAGAAAACCAATCTTGATTCAAGGATTGTGAAACGAGGTTGTTGCGAAGAAACTAGGTTTGTACAATTGTAAAATCTTAAATGGTCTTGGCTGCTGTTGTGTCTGTAGCTTTCTGTAGCCTTTCTAGCAATGCTAAATTGTGTCTGGGCTTTGTGTACATGTATGGCTGATCTGATAATGGCAAGCTTTTATTTTTTAAAAATTAAACTTTGCAGTAGCTTAATATAAATCTGCTTTGTCTGTAAGGTGTTAATATTATAGCGCAGGATGTATACAGTATAGCATACTGCTGTGGATTGCACCTGACCTGTTTTTGTTTCACTCTGTTCACCACGATGTGCTGGCCACATGTAGGAGCATCTAGCGGTAACTATAAAGCTAGCAGCTGTACCGGTGTCTCCTAATGCTTCTGCATGAGCATGTGATGTGCCATGTGAACTCCTCTGTCCTACTATCAAACTGGACTAGAACAACACCTGAATCCAATCCACATTTTCTCATTAAGCATGCAAACGATCTTTGTGTGATTTCCAGTGAAAAGCCCAGTTTGATGAAGACAATGTGTGCTAACTGGCAGGGATGCCACAATGTTGCTCAGTGTGTACTGTGCTGCATGCTGTAATCCCTTTACATCATGTTGTTCATATAATGCATGACCTCTAACCTTTCATCTAAAGGTGGTTGTGGTCTTGCCCATTTTCTCCTTACATGTGTCTCCTGGAAGGTAGTGAAATGGTCTCAAAAGTTGCAGATGCTCTCAAAACAAACTTACTGAGTCTTCAATTTTTCTTGTAAAATATTTGGAATTTAAGTATGACAAGTTTCATTTCAGAGAAAATTTAATATGATGTTTTGATGCCTTGTGAAATCATTTGATTTGGGAGCATGTTATAACTTTGAGATGTTCCCCATCGTTTCATCACAAGTTGTGGCATCTTGTCTATCATCAGGTGATGGTCTGCATTGCAATTGTGCTGTTATAATGTTGGCATGCAAGGGGAATACTTGACAATGTACATGTATATCCCTTCAGTAGGCCTCCTTATGATTTCTGGCTGTTATTGTGAAACCTGTGTTTACGTCCTGAGGACAGATAGTGTCTGTTCTTTGGAAATCTTCAAAGAGGAAAAAGTGAAAAAAAAACATAGGGAGGCTTATTTCACTGCCACTGTGTATCCAAGACATTAGTCATATCTGAAGTTCTTGTGTGTTCATCAGCAGCCCAGCTAATAACTTTTTCTTTGTCTTGTCTTTTCAGCTTCAGGCCTTTAAGAACTTCAGCTTTGACGACTGGAGAAGAAGGGTAAGTTAATCTTGGTAGATTTTTACCGCCAAAAATTTGACATCCTATTAGGGTGCTGGCAACAAAACTAGGACAAAACATGAAGAATCAGTGATTGTAATGTAAATATGAAAGACATCAAAAGGCTACAAGCAAACCAAATCACTTGTTGATACTCATCAGTAATACTACATTGTAATTGATTGAAGCTTTGTTTCTGTGTGCAGTACATGCGATGGATGAACAACAAGAAGTCGCGTGTGATGGACATGTTCCGCCGCCTGGACAAGGATCACGATGGCAAACTGACCAGGCAGGAGTTCATCGAAGGCATCCTCAAGTCCAGTGAGTACCAGAAATATACCTGACACAACATTAAGCCCTGTGTTTGATTGACATTAGATTGTCACGTCTGTCACACATACATGTATGACTAAGAATTAAATTCTCCAGACATACATGTATCCTTTAGGGATCTACCAGTTACAACTCAAATACAATATACAGTACATGTAGTCATGGCGCACATTTATCTCCAACTAGTGCTGCTGACCATTGAAAAAAGTACCAAATCAACAGTACGTGTATACTTGTGAGGTAATGTATTACTGTCAGGTACTGGTAATTCAAAATTAATGTTGAACTGGACTTCCCCTTTTTTTGTAGAATTCCCCACCAACAAACTGGAGATGAACGCCGTTGCCGACATTTTTGATCGGAACAAGGACGGGTTCATCGACTACAGAGAGTTCATTGCAGCGCTCCGACCAGAGCGGGAGTCGTCCAAACCCCTGACGGACCACGAGAAGATCCAGGACGAGGTTTGTGGTGCATGAGTGTGTGCTTGGGTGGAAAGGTTGGCTCCTGCAGATAGAAGACTGGCGTACCTCTGTCTGATCTGACCCAGGGTCTTGACCTCATACAGTTCTCCTGTCACCAACCCACCTTTATTTGCAGAAAAGAAGCAAGAAAAGAAAAGCTAACTTAAAAGGAGGACTGTGTGTATTGTGCATTGTGCACATCATTTCTGTCAGAGCCAAGCTTTCTACTAGCCAAGAGTTCTCGTTGAATCATTTATTTGTTGACAAAATGTGGCAATCTGGCAAGGTACAATGGCACTGATTTTTTTTCATTTTTACTGTTACAGTAGTATGTACGTAACTGTAGAGGGTCTCTGGACTGCTTAGATACTAAACAAAATTCAAACATTCTGAAGCAGTTTCTTATGTGTGTTGGAGTTTCATAGTTATCATACAGAATCTTGAGTTGATGTATCCTTTGTTAATATAATTATTATGCTTTGTCATGGCTACTGGCATGCCAACCATCTCCTATTTTATTTTATGTTTTATTTTTTGATAGATCTAGCTTAATGAATAATTTTGTCTTTGGGCAGATTTCTAACAAACTAAATTTGCGGTAATTTTATATTTCTGTAATATAACCTAGTCAAGAAAAATGGCGTAACCTCGCTTACAAATCGCATTGCTGTACTTTACTGTACAATTTCTTTACAGTGACTTTTTGAATGTAGATGTACAATAAAATTTTTTATTTGTTTTGCATATTCTCCACCACAAGACAAAATGCAACATCCAAGAATAAACATTTCATGCGAAGTAAAAACACTAAATAAGCATGATTTGTCATAACCATGTCATTTTCAGTTCAGGCTTGAACGCCACCTCCTTCTGTTTCATGCTTCCCTTAAGCATGGAAGAGAAGCGAAGGTCAGAGAGCACCCACACTCTACCTTTGAACTTTGAACTTTTGACCACTGAACTTTGCACTACTCAGTATTGCTCCTGACTTCCCAAAATGTCTTTGTAGTGCACACAGAAAATCTGACTTTTGAGTAATTTTTTTCGATATTGCTATTGCTTGTTAATAGTAATGTATGAAAAAGAGATCATGTGGGCCAAAAGAAACACTTAGCTGTTTCTCACCATCTAACAGTTTTTCACCTCAGTCTATAATACAGTTCTTTTATTTTTTTTGTCATTGTTTTCAACATTTATCACTTCAAAGCCTGAGTGAGAAACTGCTGAATTTTTCTTCAGGCTGATATTAGACATTCAGTCAGTTTTCATATCAAATGGTACATTTCTTTACTGCGAAACTGTACATACATGTCAGTGACAAGTGTTAGTTTGCAGGTGTTCTGAATTAGTCTTACCTCAGGTGTCTGGTGTTTCAGGTGAAGCGACAGGTGTCCCAATGCACCTGTCCCAAGCGGTACCAGGTGCAGCAGATAGGAGAGGGCAAATACAGGGTAAGAAAAATGTTTTATGTTTCATACCTGCAGATTTTGGAATAGGATGATATCTGACTTAATTTGTAGGAATTCTACACCAATGAGGTCAATTTGTATAAAGATTATAACTGACATATGAATGTGCCAGTCTTCTCTGAGAAACGTGTTAACACTGGAGCTAAGTGTTCTCAATTTATGTGTCAAAGACTTGATGTACAAATGTATGTGTTAATCTGGTGGTTGTGCGTTGGTCTAGTTTAAGTTGTTGTACATTATCTCTTTCCAACACAAAGACTGATTGTGAAGCACTGACCATAATATATATCTTACCTGATTTCTGTGACACTCACATTACTGTTTTCTATATTACGATTACCGGTACTACCTGTAGCAGTGTAGCCTTAGATGTCATGACTGTATTTCATCCCAAGTCAAAGTGGACTGTCCGACAGTGTAATGTTAGTTAAATATGCCAAGCTTAGTTCTTAGAATTTGACAGGAACCACGTAGGTACATGTATTTTGCTTTCTTTTGGTAGTCACAGCTTCATTGTCTTGGGTGTTGTGCATTTAGAATTCTTAAGTGTTTCAGACTATCTTTTATATTCATACTCTCTCCATGAAAATATTATTTTCATTCAACTCCTGTTTAGTGTGTCTGAATGTTGCAAGACCCATATGCCCTGTTGTTGAAATGATAGGAAAATGTGTTGCAACTTGCAACCTTTACAGTTATGTCAAAGTGTTGAAGAAATCTATTTTATCAAATGCACTGCAGCAAGAATTGTTCATTGCAGCATCTGCATTGAACAACAGAATGTAGCAACCCTGTTGCAGAACAGAAAAACAATCCCTGATGTCAGTAGCATCTGCCACTTGTTCATCCCTCCTCTCTGGCCTTTTCAGCCTTCTCTTGTCAGCAGTCAGTCCTCTCAGTCTGGCTCTAGTGTATCCACGGTAACCCAACAGTAACATTAACACAGATCTGCACAACGTACATGTCACGTTACTATTGTCACTGAGCACCTGTTCACTAGAGTTGTTGTCGCCATGTAACATGGTCTAGTTTTTACCATGATGTTTAACATGCACTGCGTATTTAACTTTTACATGTATCTTCTGCAGAGGAACCATGCAAAGTCTTGAGTCTAATGTCGTCATAATGGTTGATTCGCAGTCCCTTTTTCTCAAAAGCAAAATGGTTACTCTTCTTTCAGATCACTTATATTAGACATTGCAAGCATTGCTCTGTAAAGTAGGAAAATTTGAAGATGTACATTTGATGTATACTACATCATTTGAATCTTAAGCAGAAATTTTGGCACTTCTAATTATCGAAGAAAATACTTTGATCCATTGAGAGGAAGGGACAAAATCAGCCATGAGATAAAACATCTACCTTGGTTTCAGAGGCATGATTCTTGTCGTACCTTTTTACTTCATTCCTGAGGACACAGCATGACATCAGAGTAACCTACAAAATTTATGTACAACTGTACAAATGTAGATATCATTTCATTTCTAAAACATCACCACAGTGTTTTCTGTTGACTTGAGAACATCAGCTCTATTTTATACAGTTCAGGTGCACTAAATGCATTCACCCTAATACATGGTGTACAATCATGTAAACTGCAGAAAACTGCTTGTTTGATAAAAAGTTTGAACTTCTTCTGACTAAGTGATGTTTTGTCAAAAAATTTTCATTGCTTACTTAGCGTATATATAGGCAGCAGGAAGAACGTTATGTGTAAAGCTGTTACACAAGGTGCATACAATGTACATGTGCTGGAAATGGCATGATGGTACATTGTATCTTGACCATGAATTGGAAGTTGACAGGTACATACATGTAAATGTACAGCGAGAAGAATGCCTCTGGTCCCAGGGTTGTAGTAACATGTGAGCCCACCCCATAACCACAGTACCATCATATTCTGCACCTCTCTCTCCCCCATGCACCACGACCCTCTCCAGGCCGGCAGATGGACTCCATATACATACATCAAGGTAGAACCATTGGGTACATGGGGTGCACTTCAACCCCTGCCTGCAATGCCTTTGGTTTGCAGTGGTGTTGTTAGTCTTCTGTTAGACTAAGTGTGTTTTTCCCCCACCTTTTCTTGGCTGAGACCCCTGGTATGGCATTGGCCTGCCTGCTTCCGTTGGTTTAGAACATAGCAGAACTGATGTGCTCAATTCCAAACAAATTAACAATCTACAATCAAACATTCAAAGAAAGGGTAATCAAACTTCCATCTATAAAGAAAATGAATGATTCGTTGCAATAGTTCTGCTGTGGGATAAGCCACAAAGGTGTGCACACACAGGGCTTGGGGCCAATTTCAACGTCATTCTTTTTCCCTATTTGTGGTTGGGAGACCCATCCAACACCTTTTAGTTCCCAGGAATGTCATCCTTTCCTTGTAGTTTCATGACAACCTTGCATGTGGTTTTGGACAATCAACTAACAAGTGGCATGCTGTTCTCACATAGATTGCATGAAAATTGGACTAATCATAACTTTTGTAGTGAAATTTAGCTACTAATGCATGTGTTTTCTTGCAGCAAAGGGGATTGCATGGTTTTCTCCTTAATATTCTCTTTAGATATTGTAGTGGGTAGAAATGAATACTCCGACATTACAATAGCTGTTAGCTAACTGTTAGCTGGCAATTATAGCAAAAAAGATGTACATTGTATAGTAATTATTTAACCATTGGTAATGCATGCTTTGCCTTTCTTTATTTAGAGATTTTAACTTCAAAATTTTAACCAGCTTCAAGAGGCAAGTACATGTAGTAAAACAGGGTTTGAAAAAAAATTATACTAGTAGTCTGGCTATAGTGCAGCAAGGAGTGCAGCCAGCAGCATCTTTCTCCTTCATCATGTGAACTACATTTAAACTCAAGGGACAAAAACATCCCTTCCCAACCTGTTACTATGGTAATGATAACTTGTGCACTGGAAGTGTTTGTATACCATCTGCACCTTACAGACTGAAAAGGAAAAACGTAGTTCAAGTTCCTTAACTTGTGCAGCTAGAAACAGAAAGGTATTACAGTGTATATCATTCTGTGAAGTGTATTACTGAGTAAGATTTAAGGAGCGACGTGTTGCCATTCGTTGAAATCTTCATGTTTGTCCTATTGCAGTTTGGAGACACGCAGCGGTTGCGGCTGGTCCGTATCCTCCGCAGCACGGTGATGGTACGTGTGGGCGGTGGCTGGATGGCGCTCGACGAATTCCTCGTCAAAAATGATCCTTGCAGAGGTATGCTTTTGATTTCTGTCAAGACTAATTTACCCCCTGGCATTTTTTGCTCACAGCAGTATATTTGTAAAACTAACACAGGGCTTACATGTACTACACAGTGAATATCAGGCATTATACCATAATTAATGGCGGTTTGCAGTACTGCCCTTTGTATGTGCAGTAACACGTGATGTTTAATATTTGTCTATCTACTACATTTGTACTTTTAATATGATTGTTATGTATTTTTTATCTAGACTAACCAATTAACACACACTGACTTACGACCATCGTATTTGTAAGTTACGTAAAGTGACATCTTGGTTATCTGAAAAATGACATACTTTATGGGAAATTGAAATACATTAAGTTTTGTGGGATTCCCAAAGGTTAGAACCAGTTTCAGGTAACCAAGGTACAAATGTAGTGCTATGTATTATACATGTATATTTGACAGTGATCAGGTCTTGCTTTAACGTGGTTGAAGTTGAGTTTTTCAGTGAAAATACAATACCAGCAAATTTTCAAATTTGCCAGTTCTGTGCATGACCTGATGTGTTACTGTTAATGTAGGACTGCGGAGACCCACTTTTCAATGGTATGAAGAAGGTGAGGTCAGAGGTCACCTCCTTTGAAAATGAACTGAGTATTCTGTCGGCAACCAATCAACAGCAAGCCTGTCTTTGTTGCAATTATTTGAACAAAAGTAAAAGGCTTTATGTGTTTGTCTGGCACGTCTGTTAAATTGTTGCGGCTGAAAAGCTTTTTTGCCCTACATGTTAAAAAGGGAAATTTTTCATTTCTTTGAATTTCTTTGAATAACTTAATTTGCTTCACACATTGTAAAAATTGAGAGCTTTTATGCATCACTTTGGCTGACACAAATATGTATTTTGTTTCCTTTTGTTTAATTTTGCAATCATAAAGGATGTTGATAATTCTGCGGACAAAGTCAAAAACTAACATTGCGCAACTGACAAAAACTCAAGGGAATTTTTTTTCTGAGATTGAAGACATTGTAGAAAGAACATAACCTGCTCAAGATGAGATTAATTTGTCTCCAGTTCAAAGATGAATTTTTTAAGCGTATAAAAACAGTTGATGATGTGGGTTTGTTTGTTGTTTACAGCGAAAGGAAGGACCAATGTGGAGTTACGAGAGAGGTTCATCCTGGCAGACGGGGTTAGCCAATCAATGGCCACCTTCCTTCCACGTCGGCCCATGAGCGCCAACACCTCCCCCACCCATTCCAGCGGATCAAGTGCCTCCACAGGACCCATCCCCAGGGTAGGGACAGGGGTGGGGAGAGGGTAGGGACGGGGTGGGGAGAGGGTACGGATGGGGGTGGGGAGAGGGTAGGGACAGGGGTAGGGAGAGGGTAGGGACAGGGGTAGGGAGAGGGTAGGGATGGGGTGGGGAGAGGGTAGGGACGGGGTGGGGAGAGGGGGTACAGGGTTGAGGTGCAAGAAATATTACACTGTCACACAGCTTCCACATTTGCAAATGAAGGTATCAGCATTTTCCTGTCATGGTGTAGCACGTGGGAACCATCCTCCCACATATTTCTCAACATAGACTGTATTGGTCAAAACACATGGTAAGCTTTGTACACATACATTGTATACATGTACCCCCAGTATACAAATGTACATGACCTTTTCTTATGTTGCAGAAACGTGGAACGGACACCATAGACTCGACAAGGCCCAAGGAGCCTGCTAGCAGGCTACCCCTGCCAAGTAAGTATGAGTACCCTGTCATATTGCCTTAAGCCTGTACTCCTCGGATACAGTTTCTCTGTATGTATGGATTACCATAACTGTAGAGTACCATTTGATTTGTAGTACAGTTTTATTTTCACAATAGGTTCACATGTCAGATGAAATTATGTGTTTTGAACTGCAGATAAATGTCTGTGAATTGTGTGTGGTATTAGAATCCTTACTTTACAGTGTCTCTATTTGTATTTTACTAATGAAAAAGGATTTTCACAGCTAAGCAATGTACATGTAGATGTCCTTATTATAGAGAGTCATTAATGAAAAAACAATTTTGTACATGTACAAATGTAGTACTTGTGACATCTGCCAAGGTTGATTAATAAAAATGTCTGACATGATGTTACATATTACTCAGTTTTTTGTAGGATCATAATGTCCCTCAAGCCAGACATTTTTTAAATTGATGCTACTTTGTGTGGTAAATAACTGTAATGTCTGTCTACAATTTTGGGATAAAGGTTATATGTGATACTGGGTATGCACAACAGAAATCCTTCCTTTAAGTTTCTCCTATACACACCTATAACTACCTATAAACACCCTTACTGATTTTCATCTTGCATAAAAACCTGAGCATTGAGATTCTGAAGGAATCAAGCTGATCAAACCATGTCATCAATTCTGCAAAGATTACATGACACATATACATGTACATGTTGTATGTTTTGTGTACCTTAGAGGACATTAATCTTACATGACATAGTACATAGGCCAGAACATTCCTTCCTTGGTGCTTTGACATTTTGTGTATAATGATAACATCAAGTATAAGATACTTGTTAAAAAGCAATGGGAGGTAATCCATCATTTAATCAAACTTTCTTGTGTCTAACCTCCACTGGTCATAAAATGATCATTGTGTAAGTTACAACATGTACATGAAAGTCCGCAAGAAATGGATGGTACTGGCTTACAGTAATTCTCTATTTTTCCATCAAACTCTCATCAAGTCAGCTGAATATGTCCCTTGTGTTGCAGAGAAAAGAGTATGGAATGGATATCCAGGTAGAAAACATATATAGCATGTATTTCAGGCAACCTTTTTTTTCACTGCCTCCAACAGTAGAGTGAAAATCAGCATATTTTCCTAGTCCAGCTGCAGTTTTTGTGACATTAAGAGTACACACATTGAAAGCACGCACATGTAGGTTTTTGTACAGCATTTTGGACCAGGAATTTTTGCCCAGGTGTTGGCAGTCTCTTCACAAGTCACGGTTTCTTGCCGTATCGGTCATTAGCATCTCACTACGCTCATCTCTTGTGTTTCCTCTTCTTCCCTCTCAGCCTCCGGATCTTACCAAGGCTCCTTCTATAATCCCCCCACCCCTGGTAAATGGCACTATACTTGGCATGCCTCCTGTCCTACTTATAAATAGTTTACATGGTTGTTACAGCCTGAATTTTGGCAAAGTCTTTGATTCGCATTAGCAGCAGTTTAGCATTAGTATCAGACTTTTGTATGTCAACATAAATGATTGTCAAAAGGCAAAAAAGGTTAGAAAAGAAACCAAAACTGCAGTTAGCATGGTTTCTAAACTTTCCTGTCAGTCCTTTAGGGTTGGTTTTGATAAATTTCTTTGGATTACCAGTGCTGATATCTCTTCAATGATAATGATGGCTGTATCAACCCTGTTTATCACTTGATAGAAATAGGTCCTCTCTGTCTAACTCTATCTTCTCTCTCTCTCTCTTTTTCCCTATATAACTTCTTCTTTCTTGCTCTCTAACTCTTACTAGAAGAAATCAAGAGACTGAAAGGTTTTTTTGTAACTTTATGCTTTGCATGGCAGTAGACTAAGGCCATTGCTAACACCTCATTGACAACATTTTTATTTCAGTGGTGCATTAATTTGATACTTGTCCATCTAGATTTGATATTTGTATCCCTGTATCAAATACATTTTATCTAAATCTGATTTTTAGTACATGTACCTATTTCTACAAAATGTTGAAACAAGTTAAGGTCCATGTTGGGAAATTGTAGTCAGTTGCATATTGAGTACAAAATGTATCAATCTCTGAGGTATGATCAAATGAAATGGGGACATGCACCACATTGCATGTATTGCTCAATTTAAGCGCAGAGAATGTCTTTGTTTGCAACTTTTGCATGGACATCTTCAAGCTTATTGTGTTGAATGCCATGTCCATAGAAATATGTTGCATTGCAAAATGACACCTTGGACCTGATTGTGTTGATAGTCATCTCTTTGTTCCAGTCTTCATGGATTATACAGCTCTCTCTAACAATCAAGCACTCTCCTCAAAAATGTCAGACAACATCAAAGTACAAGGCTTTTGAATGATGATCGATTGTGATGTGTGCAAAACTTTGAGCAGAGGCCAAACCTTCCAAAGAGAGAGCTGTATTCCATGAAGAGTGTTTCAAATTCCTCTAGTGTTTTATGAGAGCTTAAGTGTGTCACAGCTATCTAATGATACCATTGTAGATACAGGAAGAAGAGTACATGTAGTGGCATGCTAGAACTACATGTACATGTCTTCTCTCTTGGCTTGGCATTACATGTACATGTAATGCATGTACAAATTGATTATTATCCTCCAGATGCCATTAAAACTATCAGATAGTTAATGGCATCCCAGTTCTCCTGAAACACAATATGATCAGATTCTGATGATATTTTGTTTCAATTTCTTACGAGAACTGGGATGCCATTAAAGAGTTTCAAGCTTTATTTTGCTATTGACTCAAGAAAAGTTTCAAAATTGATAACTGCTAAAATGCAAAGTTGTACAAATGGAAAGGTGTGGACTATTGACTTACATGTTGGAGAAAATGGCATCCTTGTTAAACTACGGTAGTGCAGTAATGTCAACTCTTATAACATGTAGGTGGAAGGATCCAGTAGTAATGCTTACTATCTCTCACAGCGAGAACAGGGAGTCGGCCGGGAAGTCGTGCCAGCAGTCGGCCAAGTTCGCGGCCGAGCTCTCGTCCGAGCTCCCGTCCGAGCAGTCGAGGTTCCAGTCGTGCCAGCAGTCCCACGGGATCAGACTGGGACGCCAGCAGTATTCCTGAAGGGAGCGAGTTCTCCCCACTACAGCGCCAAGGACCCGGGAGAGGGTCGTCTTCACGGATACCCAGAAGGACAGGCAGGACCACGCCCACAGGCAGGACCACGCCTACTGGTGAGGACATGTTCATGACATGCTAGCCTAGGGATCAGCCATCATAGGACAGACCAGCAGTCAATAAGCCCTGTATTTCTGTTGGCCTTGTTAAGATTTCTTCCCTAAGTTGGATGTATTACATTCTTTTTTCAGTTCTTTTCCTTGATTTATCAATAATATGTGTTCTTTCTAACAGTCATACATGGACTTCTCAGTTTGTATAGTTTCTTTGTTGTCATGTTTCTTTTCCTTCTTTTCATGTTATATAACATTGAACTAGACCAGACAGAAATATGGTAACTGTATTCCTAAAATCAGATTAATGAAGCCGAAAAGCACACGTTGAACAGTTGGTGGGGAATTTGTCATTCTTTAATGTACACCTGTGTGAAATGACAATTTATATCCTGGTTTTCTGAACTCATTAAATTTGATGATGTACATGTAGATGTCTTTTCATGTCAATCAAGTAAGTTTGCTCTAAAGAAATCAAGTATTTTGGCAAGTGTTTTTTTTTAGAATTAGAGATGGAATATTTTAACTACATGTACAATGTATGTCATGTAAAGATGTCTGGTCTGGCCAAACGTTTCCACTCCAGTAAATGCTAACTTAAAAGTTTGTCTTCTTTCTATCTTCTTTCATTTTTCCTTCTTACCTCTTTCTGTTGCCGTGTTTGTTTCTTGTTTGTTGTACACATGGTTACTCGCAGCCAATGGCCAACCCTTGGAGCCCATAGGTGAAGGTTTGTGACCTCACAGTCATGCTTCATTGTGGATTACAATTTGGGCATTTCCACTCTTTCTGTTTCATGGACATCACCGAGGAATTAACAGTTATGAAATTTCAGTACAACTGGCATTTCTGCTGCTCGTGGGATCAGCGTGTTAGCTCATAACGTCACCAAAACAATCAGGACAAGTCATCGTAGCAATAATCCTGCACTATATCATCATAATGATTATTATTTCCAGCTTTTTGTTGCCTTTGTTTTCTGCTGGAAACTCTGAGTGCCAAGCTTACACCTTTTTTGTTGCTTCCCTTTTGCAGGAGATTTGAAATCTCCTCCCAGCAAGATCACCTCCTTCACCTCCCCTACATCAGAGGCAACTCCTCCAAGGTACGCCACCTTCTGTTCAACATCATTGGTGCCTTCATAACAACTATGTGGTCTTAGCGTTGAATGGAAGCATGTCAGCATTGTCCCCTTGGTTTATCCATCAAGTAAATAGATGGACATCACAGTGCTTCTGCTCTTTACTATTTTATCCATGTTTAACTGTCTACTTCACAGAGTTGGAATGTTTCTTGATTAACTAACCAAAGCATGTTGTGAATTGTATTACTAAACTTGAATTGTAGATGATTTATGGACTGTAAATGGTCCTTTGATGGTAGAGGGTTATACGTGTACATGGTTTTAACTGTTTGTACATGTACAATGTAACTACCTTTTTTTTACATGAAATGATATAAGTCATTACATTCTTACTTTAATGATCTCAAATTTCGCAACTTCACCATGTTGCAAATTTTGACTAAAACTTAATTTTTTGAGTGTCATTAATGATTTTGCAGTGGAAGTTCTTTTAATGTTTACTTTCCTGATGACAGACATTCTTGCATGTGATTGTGGACACTAGTTGGTGTTGCTGTCTTTTGTAAACATTGCCTGTCTTGCTGGTGTATTTTCTTTTTTCAAATTGGTAAATGTGATAACATGTGTTTCTGTTCTTGCATGGTGTGTTGATAACATTTCTTCTTCTTTATTTTGCATGGACTTTTTTGCAGAAATTCAGTGCATGTGAATGGTGGTGCTAAGCCTCGGGCTAGCCCTAAACCTAGCCCCAAATTAGGTTTTGGTTCTAGTTCGCCACGGATTATTGCGACTAGGACCCGGGATCGGTAGGCTATGAAACGTTTGTTCAGCTACACCAACACGATTCCCTCACTCCAGTGTGTGTAGTTCTTACATCAGACCACAGTTCCTAACACCCCCTTTTCACTAGAGGCTGAGGCTGCTGAGCAACCAAATATTTGACAGATCAGTCAGGAAATTTGGCTAAAAAACACAGTTCTGGATGATTTGTGTGTTTTATTTTCTTACATGTAAAAGTTATACTTTTACATCTTGTATTGTATTCCAGTTATGAGATCAAGGGTCACGCAAATCCAATTTTGGTTGCTGTATGGTCTCTCAGCAATCACTCTCTAGTGGAAAGGGGGCCAAATGGTGCCAGTTTATCCAAAACAATTTCTTTCTTAAACTATTACATGTATGTGGCAATGTCGATATTCTATGTGCTACATGATATCATATCAATAAGTAAAAGAAGTTATGATACACGTATGAGGATGAAGTATGGAGAAATGACTTGAACTTGATTACATACAAATTGGTATAAAAGAGTTGCCAATTCTGACATGCCCAATATATAATACAAGGCACCACTAAACATGGTCAGATGTCATATAAGAACAACATACATGAACATGTACATTGTACACTGTAGTTTTGCACTTTATCACAAATTGTACTATAAATAGCCACAAATTGCATCAGGCATTCATACTGCACACAAACTATAGCACAAAGCACTATATGTAAAACAGTACATCTACAGGTGTACTACTATGTGTAGTACACCTGCCCATAAAATACATGATTACAATACACCCTTGAATGGAGCACATGGCTTAACAGTTCATCTGGCTACAGCACACATTTCAACACACACCTGGCTACAGTGCAACTGCACGTACTCAAAGAACACTTTCATGACTACATATGCACACTCATGTAAACACACAACTACAGTACACTAACATACCTTGGGTAGAAAATTTTCTCCTATCTTCCCCTTTAGAATTTTAAGTTCAAACCCCTCCAGCATGTTGCCTACTTACTGAGTCTGTTACCTTGGTTATGACATGTTCTGCAGGAAAACGTCGGGGCCTGCCGGCTCTCCTCCAAAGTCGATAACGAGTCCCAATTCGGGGATCCCTCGTCCAAACATCACCAGTCCCCAGTCTGCATTGTCCCCACCATCAGGCATCCCCCGTCCGGGCGGGCTCAGCCCCTCACCCTCGTCATCAGGAATTCCACGCCACACGGCGGCCAGTCCACAGAACCTCACGTCCCCACCGTCCAGAATACCCACCAGAGGACGTACCATCTCCGAATCCTCCACCGATAGCAAGGGCAAATCTCCCGCTAGTAAAATTCCCACCAAAAAGAGGTGATAGTCGCTTGTAGAGCTGTTCCTCACGATGTAGGATGTGTAAACAGCGCCACCTAGGTCTCATAGTTGGTAGAACAGCATAGCAATGTTTCATGACAAAATGCAAGGCATTGTAAAACACATCTGTAACGGTTGTGCACCAAGAGGATTTGCACCATTTTGTGCAAGATTTGTAAAAGGACTAATGTTGAATGCAGATTAAAGATGTTGCAACACGTTTTATACATGTAATGTTAGACCACCATGTTGTGAGTACAATTTAGCTTAATGTGGTATGCAACATACCAATTTGAAAGTTCCTTTAAAATCGCTGTAGATTATAGTTACTCCTATTTATAAATGATTTAGTGTTCTGTTATGTTTTGCTGGTCTGTGATTGTATCATAATTTAATATTTTGATTTCAGCCAAAATACCAATATGAAATACCAAGATTATTTAAATGTGGTGATTTGAAGTTGATTCTATTTGACCTATAAGCATTAATGATTACTTAAGTAGACATCATTTACAATGAATGTTTCAGTATGTTTTCTGTGTTGCAGCTTTGAGGCCATGTAGTATAATTGAGGGATGTAAACTTTAATTTAAAGTAAGAGACAGATGTTTATTGAACCATTGTAATCTGTTGAACCATGTTACCAAGCATAACTAATCACAATTTCTCATGGTTTGGGGTAGAAACAGAAGAAGATACAATGTACAATCTAGGTTAAAAATGTTGCCTGGTTCTTAAACAACAGCTACATGTGGATGTCTGAAGATCAGAGCTGTGTATAACTGGGGGAATGGGGAAAGTTCATCCTGTTTTCAAGAGAGAAGGCCTGTGTAGAGCCCATGTTGGTTATTTAGAACAGTAAAATTGCAATTAGAGTAAGCTTACAAAATACAAATATTTGAAAAAAGGTTTTATGAGTACAAATTATAACAAAGACACCTGTGCACGTGGTTGGAAAGTTACCGTTCATATAGGTTTTAATCATTTGAAAGACATGTACAAAGTACAAAATGTAGAACTATGTGGCCATACATGTACCTATCGCTGCCATTGAAGTTTTAATGCATATATACTGTAGAAGGCCTCGTACACATGACATGTGGTGTTTGTTTATACATAGTTTGTTATCTGTACATGTTTGAGAAATTGCACTGTTAAATGTTTGTTCCCCATTATTGTATTACCAGTATTTTTGTCGTTAATTCTGAAAAATGATTGAAGTTGAGGAAAGTATGATGTAGTTGAGGGTACGGTTATATATGATGCCTTGCATTTCTTCCTGTTAATCTCGCCCAGCGGAGAGAAGTGTACAGAGGGAAGGCAAATTTTTGCCAACCGATGCAGAAAACAAAATAAAAAGCAGCCCAACACTTTATATGTTCAGTCTGATGATCTTTTGTCACTAACTGTAGCAACTATAAGTGCCAGTACGATAAGTCAAAGCATAAAGTCCTGTGAGAAAGGTCTGGCGTCTGCACTAAAATGTTAATCTCCAAGCAGATCCTATGGTGGTATATAAATTGGCCAGGCAGTATCCATTGGTCAGAGAGGGTATCGTATTGGACTCTCTCTAGACAGTGGATACTGTCTGGCCAATTTGATACTGTCTTATGCCACCCTAGGATCTGCCTGGAGATTACTAAGATGCCTGTTCCTGCTAACATTCACAGGCATGTGGCTTTGAACTTGATTCTCATTAAGAAATATATAAGCAGATCTAAAGAGACTTAGATAGAAATGTTGGGAAACTTGAATTTGATCAATCATCAAACTTCATCATCTTATCCCTTTATCAATCATTGGATTGCTTAACTTACTATCGCCCCTACATTCGAAGTTCGGACACTAGAGCTCCTTATGCGAAATTCACATACCTCCAAAGTTTCTGGCGTTGAGAATGAAGGGTAACACTGCTACCTGTATCCTTCCAATCTTAATTTGGGCTATAACAAAAACGTCCGCAAGATGGCATCATTATACATGTTCAAATATAATACATCCATCATGATGAGGTAAAACCAGTTTCCCAAAGTTTCACTTGGTCGTTTGTCGCCATGTTCCTTCAAGATTATTAGTAACCTTTGCAGCCTGTGTAGTATTTATTATGGATGGCTTATCACTTTCGCCCTAAGAAATCTACCTTGTACTCCCCGCGACAATCAATGTATGGACTACGGGTGAAGTACGTTGGAATACGCCTGGTGACTTGGACACGGTTACTTGCTTCAAGAGAATTGAGAACAAGAATGACACGTAAGCACAACCGTATCGGATGAAATAACTTTAAGACTTTAAAAGTTATTCCATTCAGGATTTAAGCCTAATTAGTACAGACATGGACTGATGTGTGTCACGTACATCAACAGGTCGGTT